GTGTGTGTGTGTGTGTGTGTGTGTGTGCGCACGCATGCTTGCACTCTGTTCCTGCAGACTCTTTTGTTTGTACACTGTCAGACATGGGTCACTGCAGCTGGTTTTTGAGTTAGGGCGGCACAAACACAGTTGAGTAGGTGTAAATGTGTGTGAGTGTGTGAGCGAGTGTTTGTGTTGGGGCGAGTTGGGGGATGGACAAAGCAGCAGAGATGGAGAGAGAAGACCATTTTCTGCTTTTGCCCTAAGCACCCTGGTGCCTGCACAGAAAAGACCGGAGACGTGATGTGTTTGCTCTCTGCAGTAGCGTAGCTCTGCCCTGCTCTGACCACTCATCCACTCTTCTCAATGCGCATGCTTTAAATAAACGCATCCTAATCATATGTCATATTGTGCGTAGGACTCTAAGTCATAGCCTGTCCAAACTGCACCAAATAGCCAAGTTCAAACCTCAGGCATTCTCACAGCCAGTGATGACACACTGTCTGTCCACCCCCTGCGTGTTTCTCCTACTGACTGCCACAACATGTCTGTCTCCGTGCTATATTTACTCATTATTTCAGACTTGCTAAAGCAGGTCATACTGTACAGTAACTCACTCTGGCTCTTGTTGACTGTAAGTCTGAGGTTGCTGTTATTTCTGGGCACTTTTAGCTTATAAAATGCCTGTGTATCATTTTCCCATATGGCCAGCAGGAACACGTGAGGCTATCGTAATGCTGTCGCAATAATCAATTAATGACGTTGTTTTGGTTGTTTGCTTACTGGTTACTCATAGACCAAAAGTATATCTGGAGCATATACTTGCAAGGTGTGTGATGGCTCAGAGTATCAGGGACTTTCTACTGCTGAGAACCCACCACAGTAGCAGTATATTACAATGAATTTCTGAGCATCATTCTCAGTTTTAACACATTTTGTGGCATTGAATAAGTTTCACTTGCTGGCAAGAGGCATTATCTCCAAAACCCTGCAGCAGCCTTAAAGACAATTACACGCTTCATCCCTGACACAGCATGTCTTCCTTTAGTAGGTCAGGTCTTGCTCACAAGATGGACAGGAGCAACGTCTACTGTCACGATTTCCTCTGGAAAACCAATTTGGCGCAGCTCACAAAGTCTTTTGATTTGATGTTTTGGAGAAAAGCAAGTTAGTTTCTGTGGCCACGGCACAAGTAGACGTTTAAGCGGCACAAGAGGCCGGGCCTGTGACCTGCCACCAGTTCTCTTTATGACCTGCAGTTATCCAGCCTGAGCAGTAGTAAAAAAAACTGCAGTAAAACACTAAGGTCAAACATGATTCACTCTCCGCCGAACGGCCTGCGTTGGAATTGTCTAGAACCCTTCCTTTTCTTGTAACTCTTTCTTGACTCTGCCAGCAAAAGTATATGAGGCAGGTCAAGGTGAATTTACAAAGGGAGGCAATGGGTTGTAGTTTTTCACCAGTGCATGATGCAGCCAAGGTAGACTCAGGAAGAGGTATATCAGAGTAAATGATGTTGGTATTTCAAATTAGTAGTGAACACAAAACAATGGGCTTTATTTTTGCCAAGTTGCATACACAGCATATAGTCAATTTCTGTACCACTGATTTCTCTCAGCAGTATCACGCACTGTTGGATCCTATGAAAACTCTTTATTTCAAAGGATTTTTCCTTAAATTGAATTCTTTTTATTGATCATAATCTTCTAGCTTTACATCTTCTCTCTCCTGCCTTTCTCTCCCTGTCTCCCCAGAATATGAGATCGTATCTCCATACGAGGTCAGCCACCACGGTGTTTACATCTCCCACGAAGTTGCCCATCACCAGCGCAGAAGGCGACGCAGATCCCTCACCCCAGATGTGGCCTCGTCAAACACCGGTGGCGGCAGTGAAACGGTCCACTTCCAGCTGAGCGGCTTGGGGCAGGACTTCCACATGGAGCTGAAGGAGGCCTCTGAGAGCCTGATCGCACCTGGCTTCACCATCCAGGTCCTGGGAAAGAACGGCACAAAGAGCCTGAGGGCCCATCACCAGGACGACCTCTGCTTTTACCAGGGGTCGCTGAGGTCGAGGGTCAACTCCTCTGTGGCACTGTCCACATGCATGGGGATGGTGAGTGTGAACGTGAACGGAGTCGAGTTGCAAGAGGGAGTGGATGAGCTGGAACTGGAGTGGCATGCGTGTTTGCATCAGGACAATCAGTTTGAAAGTCTGTTTGTGTTACATTGTTATTTCAGTGTAGTTTTGGCAGCATTTAGATTGATTTACCGAGCAAATGCAGTGATTGCACTTACTGAACAAGAGAAAACTGTGGGGCTGGGCTCATCCTGGGATCCCATTAATATAAACACAGAATTACAGTGTTCTTGTCATTCAGAAACCAAGAGTTTATAAAACACTGAATTAGAGAAGAGACTATGTGGAAGTACATGACTGAATAAATAAATGTTCTGTAATTTTGTGTTAGAAGATATTAAACATCAGATTTCAATCAGACAAGGAGATAAAGGAACGAGTGAGAGGGAATAGACGAATGAAAGGAGACCATCAGATTACAGTCAGCCAGTAAATCTGAATTGAAACAATTTTTTTCATTGTTCGAACACTGTTTTTTTTTCCTCAACACATACTCAGCCATCAAGCAGTTCTTTCAGTGTGCTATTGTGAGGCTGCGCACTTGACTTAAGTTGACTTAAAAGGCCACTGGCTAAGTTGGCAAGTTATGCTCAGAAGTTTCCTCCTTCAGTCCCTGTCTGCCCTGCATCATTAGACCGTGCTCTTTCTATGTATATTGCACTTTTGCCCAAATCAGCTAATGAATAACTAATGGATGTGGAAAAGTCAAGTCTGCAAACACCACAGAATGTTTGCTCTGTGAGCCAGGAAAGCCCTTCATGACAAATATGCCAAAACAATGTGTTTGTGGTTTTCCTGTCCTTATTGGCCAAAACATTAAGTACAGTTCACAGATTAAAAAAAGTTCACATTTGAATTTTAGTAGGCTCACAAATCAAAAGCAATAATCTTTGCTAAACGCAGCTGGCATAAACAGCGAACTGTGAAATACAGAAAACCTAATTGAACAAAATGGTTTTAAAGGACAGAGGTGGGGTGTGAACATGTGCATGGATAGAAAGCTAAGTTGGAAATATAGGTCATGCACACAATAAATAATATCTCATTCAATAGTTGCAGATTTATTTTTGCATCAAAATGATCAGTTATTCGCAGCAGTGCAGCTTGTATTTGTGTTAGAATGGACTGAGGGGTTTGGGGTCATTTTAGTTTCCTCTCCATCTCTTTTCATACATTACATTCCATTTGTCCTGGGTAAAAACCGAAATTTCAATATGAAGGATAACATTGCTGAAATGTACAATTTCTTATTATTACACTGGGGTTTGTTTGTGTTCTGTCGAGAAATTTGGCCCAGTTTCAGTCCTTGCCTTGGTGGTCCTCCTGTTGCTGTGTGAACATAAAGGAAACATTACTGTAAGAATGACATGAAGTCTAAGAGAGGCAGCTCCACTCTAAGAGCTCAAGTGTTGTACTCACCCTCTGAGCAGTCTGGACGAGAGAACAAAGGCCTTTGTGAATACACACTTATGCTCTTAGTCTTGAACTCACATATTAATTTAAAAAGAATTGCAGCAGTCTTGACGTTCCCAGGTTGACGGAGGGAACTTGTGGTGGCTTTGCATCTAAAGGACCTTGTTACAGCATAACTTCAAATGTAAACCTTAACCTTAAATCAGTCATTGAAATTCATTGTGTCTTTTCACTGTTTTACACAAACAAATGCTTTGAAAAACCAGCATGACCACATTTCATTTTAACTTGTTTTTTTATTTTATTTCGGTGTCTTTAATTACAATAAATTCCGGGCCTGACCGTGTTGGTTTGCTGTTTATATTTTTGTTGTGGAGGACCACTGCTGTGTCTGAGAATTGCCCTCTGAAACAACAGACGGAAAATGGCACATCTCCAGGGATGATTCTCCTCTGTGTGTGTGTGTGCGTGCATGTTTGTGTGTGTGTGTGTGTCTGCATTTTCAGACCAGATCCCAATAAAAGATCCAGCCAAAAGGTCCAGGGTTGTAGAGACTGTAAACGTGGTTCTCACGAATGAGGATGGCAAAAATGGACTGTGTCAGTGAATCAATGGGAATTTGACAATTTTCTGATGTGAATTAGGGGAAGTGCAATGTTTTATCAGCAGAGAAAGGTCTCTAGACTCCTGGCTCGATCGTTTTTTCAAAAAAATTTGAAAATGTGTCCTATCAAGATCCAAACTACATCATTTTTATCAGTGTAAGAATTTGATATTATTTGCATATGGACCAAATGACTTTCCTTCCTTCCTATATGCATATAAAAAAGTTATATTGATTAGAAAAGTAAAATTCACAGTGGTCCTGATGGCTCCATGCACTACTATTTAAGAAAACTCGTACAAATAAACTTAACACATGTAAATGGAGGAAACATCATCAATTTAACAACGCATGCACAGCAAAGAAAAAGAAAAGAAAACACACCGCAAACTGTCAACACAACCAAACACAATGGACGTGTTTTTAGGGGACACTACAAACTGATGATCATGGCTGTGACAATTTAACCTGCCAGTTCAAGTAATATGAGAAAATATACACCTAATAAAAGTATTTGAGTTGTGGGGGATTGGACAGGTTGTGAGGATTTGTTTGTGTTGAGTATTTTATTGTGTGTGTTTTGAGTATATATTGTGTAGTGGGGATACGGTTGTGTTATGAGTATTTGGTAGTGTTGTGAGTATTTGTTTGTGTTGGTAGTGTGATATTTCAATTGATCTTGCGGTGCTGAGCCAAGTGCACATTTGAGATGGGTTTCCTTTTCTGTCTGTTGTGTATTGGTTTGTTTAGAGGTTGTGTTTCTCTCTGGGCATGTGTGTAGCTCTGATCTCAAACACGTAGTGCAATTGAATAACATGAGATTGGTATCTATAGATTAGTAGTTGAAGTAGTAGTGGTAGTATTGGTAGTTGCAGTGTACATGTGCACAACAGCATGCTGTGACTAAAAAACGTGTGACATTTCTTGAAAAAAGTTTTGGATTTGTGTTGGTTAGAATGTTCATTTTTCCTCCTGATTACCCAAACTTGGGGGGGAAATGTTCAAAAGCCACAAATCTTGTTCATTATTGTTTTCTGTGTTATTTGAGCACATTTCTGGGAAATTCAATTTCTTTTTCTTTTTATTTGTCTTTATGGTGATATAACTCTTTAAATATTCATTTGAAATCACTACAGTATACATATTCTGGCTGACCTGGCCTGAAAAAAAAAAGGATATAACTTTATTGTGCATTACAGGGTTGGGGGTGTACAAGCATTATCACACAAGGCAGCCAGGCAGACCAAAAGTAGGAAGAACTGGCTCAGATTCCGAAGGCTTAACTGTGTGCAATGTGCACATGCATACATGCACTCCTGTGCTTCAGATGTTTAGTTTTCTTTGCCTATGATGGGTCAAAGTTCGCTGGACAACTTAAAACCTCACACAAGAGTTTGCACTTTGGTCAGGTTCCTATTTGGCCCCCAACAGGTAAATATTGACCAGAGGACCTCGGATCAATATCTGTATCAGTAAGAGCACCTGGTCTCCAACTGCAGCACGATACAACTCACTTTATTTACGTTGTTATTGCTTGATACATTTTGCACGATAAGGCATCTGTGTTTTTAAGGAGTCAGTGTTATTCATCTGCATTTAGGACGACTCACACAATCTGAATGTTGGTATCTCATCCGGCTTAATGATGGATGTAGAGAGAATGATGAAGAAAGATCAGAGTGAGATGAGAGATAAGAGATAAAAAGCAATAAGGGTCGTTGTTTCCTCCGTGGCATTTAGAAGTGATGAAACCCCCCTTGGGAAGAGTGTTACGTTGTAAAGCCATGTGTATAAGTTGCCTTTTCAACTCCCCACTTCTGGCAGCCCATATAGTGGTTAGCCAGGCTTTGATGACAGTGGGGAGTTCAACCATAAAAATGAAAGAAACAGGCCAGTCCCACTGGCTGCACTATTCACCTGCCAAATGGTTTGAGACTGTGCACAGCGCACATACGCACATGTGAAAGGGGGGCGATCATAAAACAGGTTCTCTTCTGTGTCGACTTTATGCTGCAGCTTAATCTGTTTAAGTCAGTCTTTTATGGGGGTGAGGGAGTAGAGGATTGAGTGGAGTGACATGCAGGCTTTGTGTAACTCTGATACCATGAATCTTTTTTTGCCTGAATTTTTAGTCATGCTGGCAAAAGAATGGCCATGTTGGTCTAGCACACAATTTTGTACAGATATTCATAATCCCCAGAGGATACAATCTGATGATCTGATCCTTCAACTTCTCATTTAGTCATTGTGTCAACATTTCAATTTTTCCGATGCTTTGGAGTGATTAAATACTTGCAGACATTAGTCTCCCATTAGTCTCAGACATGAACTCCAGGAAATGTCCGCCCAATGGGGTCTGAACTTTCTTCCGAGTTTGGAATTGAGAATGCAGCAGGCAGGATTTACAGAATTGACTCCACTGCGCACCCAGCATTATTGTTTACAGCATATTGGCACTGGCATCTGCCTTTATCACCAGAAGTTTTTTTTTTAATTTTGCATCTGTTGAGTTTAAACTTTGGGGCTGTTTGGAAAAGCTCTGGAGAAAGATGTCCACAGCAACTGATTTGGACATTTGCGTTACATGCTTGCATTGATGAAATATAACCTTATATACATGGTTTAGGCAAATGGTGGCACAGCATCCAATGCTTGTTCCACATATAAGACATTTTTCCATTCAGTTTAATGAACTGTGCCTCCGTAATGACATAACCATCAGTCACTTTGTAAACTAGTAATCATTAACCTGGGACAGTTCTAGGTCTGTTCCTGGCTCTTTTTCACCTCGTAACACGCACCATTATCCCTGCTCTTCACATGCATCTCTATCTGTTTGTCTAATCTAATTTTACCCAGACTGCTAATGCACACCTTCCTTTGTACCAAAGGGAAATGTTAAATCTCCTCCCACCACAAATCACTTGGAGGTCATGTGTTTTCCTCTTGTAAAAGGACG